CACGTCCCCCCCTAACCCACACCACACGCCCACCACACGTCCCCCTAACCCACACCTCACACTTCCACCACACGTCCTCTAACCCACACCACACGCCCACCACACGTCCCCTAACCCACACCACACTTCCACCACACGTCCCCTACACACACCACACACGCCCACCACATCGTCCCCTCAACCCACACCCACACGCCCACCACATCGTCCCCTGGGTTCCACACCACACGCCCACCACACGCAACCCCCTAACCCACACCACACGCCCACCACACGTCCCCCTAACCCACACCACACGCCCACCACACCAAAAGCCAAAAGAAATTCAAAAGAAAAATTCAACTTATACAGTGTGTTACAAATCAGCGAGAGAGAGAGAGAGAGAGAGAGAGAGAGAGAGAGAGAGAGAGAGAGTTTTGATGGCGTGTGTTGTAGAGTGGGAAGATTAGAGTTCGTTTAGGAATAAAGTGTGGTGAAACGAGGGTGAAATTCAGGGGGGGGGAAGGAGGAAAAAAGTGAGGTGTTGGGCAGAAACTGGTTAGTGCTGTGGGGGAGAAACACATACATACATACATACATACATACATACATACATACATACATACTGTAGTGTACATACATACATACATACATACATACATACATACCTAACATACATACATACATACATACAGTACCTTAAATTTACTCACATTAGAAATTAATTAAATAACTGATACGATTACAACAGAGGTTTTCATCGTGGGTTTCAAGTGTGGGTTCTCTATCTTAGGTTTTCTAGCGTTGGTTTCTAGTGTGGTTTCTAGCGTGGATTTCTAGTGTGGGTTTCTAGCATGGGTTTTATAGCGTGCGTTTCTAGCATGGGTTTCTAGGGAGTGTTTTCTAGCGTGGGTTTTCTAGTGTGGGTTCTCTATCGTGGCTTTTCTAGTATGGCTTTCTAGTGTGGTTTCTCGAGTAGGTTTCTAGCATGGGTTTTATAACGTGGGTTTCTAGCATGGGTTTCTAGGGAGTGTTTTCTAGCGTGGGTTTTCTAGCGTGGATTTTCTAGTGTGGGTTCTCCATCGTGGCTTTTTTAGTGTGGGTTTCTAGCATGGGTTTTCTATCGTGGGTTTACAGCGTGGGCTTCATCACCTCTCAGGTTAATTAGTACTTAATCAAGGGTTTAATCTGTCCCTAAACTACCTGTAATTAAATTAGGATCAGGTGAGATTATATCGTCAACCCAACCAGCTCCTTCAAAGTGTGTGTGTGTGTGTGTGTGTGTGTGCGTGTGTAAGTGCAGTCACACACACACACACACACACACACTTGTACAGGTATGTCAAGGTAAATTAGGTGTTCGTGCTAATTACTGATACAGGAGACCTTTAACTGCCCTGCTAGTAAGATGAGGGAAGGAAGGAAGGAGGAAGGTGAAGGAGGGTGATGGAGCGGCAAACTAAGGCATTGTTATTGGGTAGAAGGAAGGGGGGGAGGAGGAGGGAGGGGGGAGAATGAAGGAAGACGATAAAGTGGGGATAATGAAAGAAGGAGTTTAGGAGAGTGGAATTAAGAGGGAGAGAGAGAAATGGAGATAAGCAGAGAGATAGAGACCAAGAGAACGAGATCAAGACAGAGGAAGAAAGATATAAAGGGTATGAAGAGAGAGAGAGAAGATAGAGAGAGAGAGAGAGAGAGAGAGAGAGAGAGAGATTGAAGTGAATGAGCTGAGAGAAATGAGATTTGAATGATTGATTTTGGGGGTAGGAATGTGGGGGTTTCTCTTCATTATTTGTGGGGGTAGGGGGGAGGGTGGGGGTATGTGGGTGGAGGGAGGGAGAGGGGTTAGGAGAAGTAGGTGGGGGAAGAGGTGTTGGTGAGAACTAGGATGAGAAGGTGGAGGTTAAGTTCATCATCATCATCATCATCATCATCATCATCATCATCATCATCATCATCATTATTGTTATTATTATTATTATTATTCTCATTTACCACAGATTCCTAACTTTTCCTCCCCACTCTCTCTCTTTCTCCTCCATTTGCCTTCATTTGTGCATGGAGGGGAAGCAGAGGGAAACAAACAGAGGGAGAGAAAAAACACACACAACAAACACTGTGTTTTACGAGCAAACACACATACACAAAGTGAATAGCCAATGACAGACAAACTTGGATGTACACCATATCAAAGTTGGCCTCTCTCTCTCTCTCTCTCTCTCTCTCTCTCTCTCTCTCTCTCTCTCTCTCTCTCTCTCTCTCTCTCTCTCTCTCACCTTTTACCTCGCTAGTTCTCCACCTCTTCATTAATCACTTCAACAACTCCATTTCCTAATTCCTTAAGTGTGAAAAAGCTCATCGCCACGCCATCTATTGACAGCTTAATGAACTCTCCAGTGTTTCACCCAATAAAACAACGGTACGGAGATATTCAGCCAATTAGAGAACACGACAGGTACAATTAGCCAATAAGAGAATCGGAGAGGTGCATTCAACCAATGAGACAACAGCGCGGCAACACGGAAACTTTACCTATAAACAACGGAATTATTTGCTCACTTAAGGCGCCAACAAAAGTCTTCATTTCACTGTATTATGGATAATTAAAGTCATTTAAATATGTCAGGTTTATTCCTCTATCGTGTACTTTAAAACTGACACGACCATTACAGTCAGGAAGAGGAGGAGGAGGAAGACCAGGAGGAAGAGGAGGAAGAGGTGGTGGTGAAAAAGGTCACAGGCTCCTGAAAAGAAAATTTTCAACGTGATACGAAATTTTCCTCACCGTCACTTGAGGATGAGACGACCCAAGGAGTGTGTGTGTGTGTGTGTGTTGTGGTGACGTAACTCAACACAAGACGATGGTGGAGTTAACTCAAGACGTGTATAGTGTCGATAACAGGCAGTGGGGTGAGACGTGCTCTGACTGAGGTTAGTATTATTATTATTATTATTATTATTATTATTATTATTATTATTATTATTATTGTTATTATTATTTTTATTTTTATTTTATTATTATTATTATTATTATTATTATTAAATACGTTTATGACTTTATTAATATTACTGGTGTTCTTGATACTGAAATAAGTTCCTAAAGTTTTAATTAATTATCGTAACTATTATTCATATTACTGTTATTAAGTACATCAGTATTCACGGCTTACAGTAATACATTTCTAGCGTCCATTTAAGGTAGAGTTTGAAGCCTGTTATACACATTACTTAACATAGCCGTAAATACCTCGCGAATAGTCAACGCTTTTAGGAGTCAAATTCAGTGAAAACTCGTTAAAAAGTTATATTAAATCATCCTTATATAACAGAGGTTTAAGGGTCAATTTGGAGAAGCATTCACAACGTTTGGGGTACCTTATGTGTTACTGAGTACCTCCTCACCCCCCACTAACCCCTCTACCCCCCCCTCCTCAACCACCATGTAATGAGTAGTTTGGTTGTTGTTTGTTTCGTCGCTCTAGCCACTGATGACGTCACCTTTAATAACAATACAGACGACTCCTTCAGGTAGGTGTTCTCTCCGTCTCCGAGTTAGAGGTGTTCTTTACCGACCAATAGATGGCGTTGAAGTGCGTCTTTCTCGTTGACTTCAGCTGTTGTTTATCGTCAGTTTTCAGTATTTGGTGCAACAACGGTTCAACTAAGTGTATAACTACTTGGTTCGTTTGTTAATAGATGGCGTATGTCTTGTATGAATATAAGTTTTCGTTATATTCCCGCCACCTGAAACGAGACATGACCCGAGGCAGTGGTTCATGCAGAAGACAGTGATCCACCTCCCCCCCCCTACACCCCTACGTCAGGTTACACTGTTACCAGAACTGAACTGCTTCCAGTTATAAGACCTCTCACCCAGGGGGGGCCCGTTTCTTTAATGAGTGACTGTACATACCTCGACTTTGTTCTATAGCAATACTCGACGTTATAGGGATTTGGTTAATGGTTTATCAATATAATGTCCAGAGCTTGATAGTCGAATACGCACTACCATCTTGATCTGCCTTGTGGTTATCCAGTCTCCTCTCGAAGGTTAACTTGTTCAGAAACCCTACTGAATATAAGACTCACTCTCTCTCTCTCTCTCTCTCTCTCTCTCTCTCTCTCGCTCTCTCTCTCTGTCTCTCTCTCTCTCTCTCTCTCTCCAACCTGCACAGACAAGCTGCTCCACATTTTACTTTTACTTTTATCCTCTTCGCCACTGATCGGCTCGTTAACCGCTTGGGAGATCGGTCACGTCTCTGTTACGCACTGTTGGCAAGTACTGGGCATGCACCGGCTCCTGAATGTACAGTGTACCTGAACCTGCTCCAGTGTTGGTCAAGTCTGGTCTTGAAAGAGCTAACACTCGGTGCCGTCACAACACTTTCTGGTAGATTGTTCCAAGAGTTCACAACTCTCTCCGAAAAAGTTTGCCCTCATAGTTTTCTGGACTTGTGGCTTCTTCAACCTTGAGCTGCGACCCCTTGTGGGGTTTTGTTTCATTTTGGTGTATGGTGACGTCTTGAACACCTTACGATATATATTCATCCATTAATATCCTCGAATATTCCACTACCTTAGTACGTAGGGTAACAGACAGTACTGTACAGGTATACAATCAATGACAAATAGTATGTGGATTTACCCTAGTATTGGTTAGGTTAGGTTAGGAATTCTGTGAAATATACATATCTTAACTTCTATCGTCTCCTATGTAGTAAAAATAGTCCCTCGGCAGACAGCATGGAAACTGCGGGCCTAGTCCCATGCCACTACCAGCAAGAGACATTACATAATTGATGAAGTTACCCTGGAAGTTAGATCCATTTTCTTTAATAAAGTCCAGACTAGCGAATACAGCGGTAACTTCTTTATTTTTGATACGACAGGAGCGGCGTGAAAATATATATACATATCACTTTTTTCCCTTCGCTACTATTGTATTCTCTCTCTCTCTTTTACGCTTTCCTGAGATTTGTGTTGTGGTTTTAAACAGTTTTAGGAGGGGCTAAAACAAAGAAGGGACTTAAGATAATCATTTTATTTTTGTGCATGATTTCTGTCTAAACGTTTTAATAAATGGCTTAGCTGTTTGTTAGGTGGGGAAGAGGGGAGGAAGTATATAGAGAAAAAATAATCATTCCTGAGAGACGAGACAGACACGTTTGTATAGAGAAACTGTATAAAGGAAAGATTGGTAACTTATAAGGGGGGGGAAAGAGAGGAAACTTGTACTGTATATGGCACATATGGGTGGGGGTATTACTGTAGGTAGAAAATTACAATGAAAATTAATCACTATAGGAAGAATCTGACGGAGGAAAATGTCATTGTACGGAGGAGATGTCATGGGATTTATTTGACCGCGGAAAATGGAGAATGAAAACACAAGACAATAAGCAGGTACAGGTGAGAGTAGGGGGCAGCTGAGCGATGTTTTTTACACCTGAATAAAAACTATTACTTTTGGGTTCAGGACGTTAAGATCACTCCTGAGGTTACGTATCCTTAGGGTGGTCTCTCCTACAGGACAAGATATTGAAAAGTTAGTTTTATGAAGCTGGGGACTCGTGGAGGTCATCTTCAGGGACCGGGGTCTCGTGGGGGTCATCTTGAGGGACCGGGGACTCGTGGAGGTCATGTTGAGGGACCGGGGACTCGCGGAGGTCATCTTCAGGGACCGGGGACTCGGGCACGATATCCTGAGGTGGCAGTGCCTGTAGGGGGTCCTGCTGTTGGGGTATGGCCTCGGGGTCGAACCTCCTGTAGCCACTGAAGAGGAACCCGAAGGCAGGAGAGTTGGGGACGTCGACGAGGCCCGGTGGACGGTGGGTGTAGAAGGACCCATGACCGTGTGGCGGACGGGACACCCCGTTCTCCACCCCGAAGGCTCGACGAGGGAGGAACGGCACGAAGTAACCCTCAGGAACCTTAAGAGAGAGAAAGGGAGATTAATAACAAAAAAAATAAGATGTGAGAGAGCAATGAGAGACAGGCGAGAGAACAGTGAGAGACAGGTGAGAGAACAGTGAGAGACAGGTGAGAGAACAGTGAGAGACAGGCGAGAGAACAGTGAGAGACAGGTGAGAGAACAGTGAGAGACAGGTGAGAGAACAGTGAGAGACAGGCGAGAGAACAGTGAGAGACAAGTTACTCACGTCGAAGGGTAAGATGGCGGGTCCGAGATGAGGCTCTAAGGTGAACTCGGCCATCTGTTGGTGCGCCGCCTCGACCATTTGACCCGCTATCTGGCCAAGTTCCGGTCCCAAATGGCCCTCTACTTGGCCTTGATCCTGTAGAGGTTCATCTAGAGGACCTTGACTCCCCTTCTTCCTCCCTCCAGCTGTCTTACGAACCATCTGCATCGCCATGGTGTTCTCTGCTCCGTCCACCACTGTAACGTTCGAGTTTTCATTTATTTTATTTTAATCGTCTTTTGTCTTGTGTTTATTTACAATATTGTCAAGCTTAAATGTCGGGAATTCTCTGTAGGAAATCTAAACTTTGTTACAATCCGTGTTAGCGTGTTTACAGTATTATAATGTGTTAATATCAAGGATTATTCACTAGCAAGTACTTTTTTCTTCTTTTTTTTTTACAATCCGTTGTTTTGTTGTGGCAAGCATAATGAAGTGTAACTATCAGGTAGTTTCCAAAAGCAAGAGTGACATTGTTTTATTTACGTCGTGTTTACATCTTTATTATTCGTAAGCGTAAACATTCCAAACTTACTACAGGTGACTTAACATATTTTACACCATTCATTATTCCATACATTATTCTACACCGGACACCATTGTTACTTTTATTACAGCTATTACATGAAAGTTACTGTATCAATACCTGTATATAAATCTTATCTTCACGTGATTAAATTTCTCCTAATTACTTTTAACCTTAAAGAATATACAACAAAACAATAACAACTCTTAATAATACAACTATACATTAACATTACAATATATATCTTTTATAATATATCACTCTAAATGCTATATCAATCTTCAAAACAAGACAGTAATACAAAGAACGAAACCCGACGAATTGTTTGTCATCTCCTCGGCCAGAGCAGATACGGAGAGGGACTTGTAGATCTGTGTGGAGACGGAGTGGTGAAAGCCAGAACAATGTTTAACCTTTTAAGTTGACCCTGGACAAGTTCACTTAGAATAACAGAGGACACACCTAGCATACCTCAGCCTTCCTCCTTCCCTGCCTGCCTCCCTCCCTCCCTCTCTTCCTCCTTCCCTGCCTGCCTGCCTCCCTCCCTCTCTTCCTCCTTCCTTCCCTGCTTGCCTCCCTTCCTCCTTTCTTGCCTCACCCCCTTGCTCCCTCCCGCCTTCCCTACCTCCTTCCGTCCCCCTCCTTCCCTACCTGACGAGGACACTGTGGGGGGAGGAAGGGGTAGTCGCGAGGTCAACAAGATATACTTGGGTTAATACCACACCTTTATGATACAGCCACCTCGTGGATATTATTACTGTACCTGTATTTGGTCACCTGAAACTGTATTGGTGTTACTGTATGTACGTAAGTCTCTATCATACAGTCAATACATGGGATTTATTATTGTATCTGGACCACATACCTAAACCTGTTTTTGTTCACCTGTAGACGTGACTGAACAATATTTCCCACTTTGTTCTTTTGTTCTATTCGGCTGAACTGTAATGAAGGATAACTTAATGACGACTGACGACATTACTGACACCCTAGTGACGATTGACGACTTTCTGAACACTACTGACGACTGAAAACTTACTGAGTGACTTCAGGAGAGCCATCACAGTCCGCTGGTCGCCGTTGACTGAGTCGCCAAGGGTGGTCAGCAGCATGTCGACCCCGGGTTCACCCGAAGTCACCCGGAACTGACGAGAGGAACCAGTTGAGGTCCCCCGGAAGTCACGGCCCAGGTCATGTGAGGTCACCTGGAAATTTTAGGAACTGTTATTTTTTTCTTGATTTTTGGGATCACCTGAAGATTAGACACCCCAATTGATTTCACTTGACCAGATACCCTTGACGCTAACCAAACCTAACCTAATATAACACGTACCTAACCTAACCTAACTTAACCTAACCTAGCCTATTCCCCCAGATATCGATAGGGTGTTTAATCATCAGGTGAAATAAGGTCATACGATTTTGCCTCATGTCCAATAAAATTTGAAAATAGATTAGTTGTCCACTGCTTAGGAAGAAACTTGGGTGGTTGGCATGGCTGCTAGGGGAGTAATTGCTAGGAACATAGTTGCTAGGAGAGTGATTGCTAGGAACATGGTTGCTAGGAACATGGCTGCTGGGGGAGTGATTGCTAGGAACATGGTAGCTAGGAAAGTAATTGCTAGGAGTGTAATTGCTAGGAACATGATTGCTACAGTAGGAGAGTGATTAATAGTACAAAGGTACATTACTAGAACCTGGATCTTGAGCTAGGAATACCACCCACCTGCTGCTGGGATATGCTATGACCAGTGCTAGGAGAAAATAACTGCGCCGCAAACCCCTCTATACCATCATCTGTAAAACGTGTTAAAGACGTGGATAAGAAAGATTTCGTCAAAACTCTCTCAAATCAGTCACTCAGGATTCGTATTCATAGAGCTGACTGACGCAAACTAATGACACTGTACCATACATATAGGACACTGTATCACCATTACTTAAACATCACCATCATCACTTCTCGTCACCATCGCTGAATGAAACCCAGAGACAGATAGACAGACACACACACATACAAACACATACTGTATAGATAGACAGACAGATTAACAAACACAGACAGACTAATAGACAGACAGAGACAGATTAACAAACACAGACAGACAAACAGGTAAACAAACAAACTAACATATACACTGACAGACAGACAGGTACACAGACAGACTGACACACCTGAAAGAAAGCTAGGATCAGCGGTAGTGGTCTGTGTATCGTCGTGTAGTTGCCTCCTGACGGACATCTGTGTGGCGGGAGACGCTACCGCCGTCACCACCACCACCACCATTACCTGTAGTGAGGACAGGTAGAATGTTAGGGTGGGCAGGTAGAATGTTAGGGTGGGCAGGTAGAATGTTAGGGTGGGCAGGTAGAATGTTAGTGGACAGTGTAGGTTAGGGTGGGCAGCAGGTAGAATGTTAGGGTGGGCAGGTAGAATGTTAGGGTGGGCAGGTAGAATGTTAGGGTGGGCAGGTAGAATGTCAGGGTGGGCAGGTAGAATGTTAGGGTGGGCAGGTAGAATGTCAGGGTGGGCAGGTAGAATGTTAGGGTGGGCAGGTAGAATGTTAGGGTGGGCAGGTAGAATGCTACGGTGGGCAGGTAGAATGTTAGGGTGGACAGGTAGGTTAGGATTAGGCTAGCATAATCTAATTTAACCTAACTAAATATAACCTAACCCAAGTAACGTTAAAATATTTAATCATCAGGAGAAATAATCTAGGGTGCTTAATCTTCAACTAATCTTTAATCAAACTACAAACATTATCTAAACATTAAAACAAAACAAAAACAGAAGAGAAAAAAATTTAAACCTAATCTCATAATATTCGTTAATAAACCATAATTAAACCATGTTGAATACCTTGAATTTCCCGTAATAAAACAAAAATACGAGTTTAGGTAAAAAATACATTCATCCAGTCTTTTGTTGGAAATTCACACACACACACGAAGGAGTAAAAACAGCGACTTTGATAGAGAAATAATGTTTGGGGGGGGGGTGTAATTTAACTGCTGTATAATAACTCACAAAGGCTTGAGTTACCTTATAATTATTCATAAGTGCGGCCAGAAAGTATGCAGGTAGGTTTTAAATTATTTGTACCTGGATAAATTTTTAGTTGTGACTGAGGTAACAAGTGAGAGTAGATTAATACTGAGAGTTTTTTTTGTTGGGTAGGATAGGGTAGGGTAGGATAGGGTTGGGTAGGATAGGGTTGGGTAGGATAGGGTATTGTAGATTAGGGTAGGGTTGGGTAGGATAGGGTATTGTAGAGTAGGGTAGGGTTGGGTAGGATAGGGTATTGTAGGGTAGGGTAGGGTATTGCAGGTATTAGAGGGTGGGGTAGGGTTGGGTAGGGTTGGGTAGGGAGTAGGATAGGGGTTGGGTAGGGTAGGGAGTAGGATAGGGGTAGGGTAGGGTAGAGTTGGGTGGGTGGGGGTAGGATAGGGTTGGGTAGGGTAGGGTTGGGCAGGGTTGGGTAGGGCAGGGTAGGGTAGGGTATTGCAGAGTAGGGTAGGGTAAAATAGGGTAGGGTACATTAGGTTTGGGTAGGTCAAGTTAAAATAATGTTAAGTTAGGTTAGTCAACGCTAAATAGGGTGTTTACATAGTCCCTTGATGTTAATATTTACAAACATTCCTTCAGGGAGCCACACACTCAAAACATTACAGCATACACAGTCCATTATTTCTGTACATAACTTTTACTCTTCATTCTCTATATTCTGAATTCGACTATAACACCTCAGGTTACCTCAGGTTAGGTTAGGTTAGGTTAGGTCAGGTTAGGTTAGGTTAGGAATGTCTTCAAGAAAATATAAACACAAACATCAAAGGGCCTTATAAACACCATTTGAATAGGCCTTTACCGTAAAATATATATATATACTCAAACAAGGTCAATCGTATCTAGTTTACAGATTTTTATAACCTGTTTTAACTAATTAGTACTATCAGTTGTAGATGTGAAAAGAGACTTGTGGTTTGTTTCTACTGTAAGCGTAAGGACTCATTGCCTCTAGAACATAATATGTAAACAAGAATCACATGTTTACCTCGCTGATGCTCTCCCCTGCCAAGCGTAAGATTCATACTCACCCGAACTGATTTACCCGGATTTAACAACCGAGTGAATGCATAACCTCCGACCCCCCTTGCACTTAGCTAGGACGAAACATATTTAAACATTAATTGAACCTAAGTGAAGCAAATTAAGCTTCCTATATATAGTTAATAACGTCATAACACTTGCATCAGACGAAAGAGAATTTGGCCAAAACATCATAAGATAGAATGTGTTTGAAGTAAATAATCGTGTAAGCTATACTGAACACACTACAGCCTGGATAGATCAAGGTTGTCACGCTCCACCGCCAGAGACGTGAGTGTATGCGGTGTGTACAGCCGCTACATCACCTGCTCTTACCAACACCAGACGTCATCCACAAAACATAAATTCTCACATCTGATAACATCCCTCTATATAAACTTCAACACCTAGTAGCAGTAGTAGTAGTAGGAGTAGCGTTAGTAGTAGTAGTAGTAGTAGTAGTTTGTGGAAATCAGTTTAGTTGAATACCCAAGTTACAGGTAATTTAGAAAACGTGGTTATATATATTCAAGAGTTAAAGTTCTCTTTGGTTAAGAAAAAGATGAATATTTAAAGCTAATGTTTACTACCAACTGAGTAATTAATAGTTATCTAAAAAGAGAGATTAAATGTATGAATTAACTTATATACGTTACATTTTTTTCATCTCATTAATTAAAAAAGATTAATTCATTAATTCTTTATGATGTATTGAAATTAATTCCCTTTATCACTATTTATTATTTTACTTATATATTTTTCACTCCTTTTTCTTTCATTCTTGTTTACTTATGCATTTATTGACCACTTACCCATCTGTTAAGTAAACGCATCTTCCTTCTGCTGGTGAACGATGGCAACTTTATTTACATAAGTTACCGCTTGAGGGATGACCTAGAGTTGGTTGGTGCTTGAGCAGTTGTGTTTCCTGGAATTAAGAGATTATCAGTATCACTACACTATATCACTTTATTTACACTACTTCACCACATTACTGTATTATGACTGTATTTCTAGGTCACTATTCCTGTATCACTGCATTCCCGTATCATTGTATTCTTGTATCACTGTATTCTTGTATCACTGTATCACTGTATTTCTGTATCATTGTATAAACACTGCATTACCACATCACTGTATTAGCACTGTAACCACTTTACCACCACTGCACCCTCACTGTACCACCACTGTACCACCACTGCACCCCCACTGTACCCCCACTACACCCCCACTGTACCCCTATTGTATCACCACTGTACCACAACTGTACCCCCACAGTACCCCCACTTTATCACCACTGTACCACCACTGTACCCCCACTTTATCACCACTGTACCACCACTGTATCATCACTGTACCCCTACTGTAACCCCACTGTACCTCCACTATCCACACTGTATCACCCCTGTACCCTCACTATCACCACTGTACCATCACTGTACCATCACTGTACCTCCACTGTACCACCACTCAAAACGGGTTTAAAGTATCCCTAAAAATCCCTCACCAACTGTATTGATTCAAAGCTTCGATACCTGGTTCATTTAGCGACCTTAGAAACATACCCTTTAAATAACCTAAAACACCTCTTTAAACCTTTAATACCAGTCCTTTTTTTTACCATTTTAAGATCTATCATTTAAGGCCTAATTGGTCATTTAAAGGACTGCCCTAAATCGTTTTGAGGGGGCTTTAGGAATCGAGTGAGTGAGGGATTCGAATGGACTCGGTGAAGCTTCGTTGGGTTCGGATGAGTCCGGTATCGATTGCGAGTTGGCAAGGGTTGGAACCTGTGAGAAAGCGAAAAAGAGAGAGAGAGAGAGTAAACAGACTTAACACCGATTTACTAAACTATAACACTGATTTAACAATGACTCAAATAAATTAACATTGACTTCATACAGCACTAAATTAACACAACTTAACACCGACTCAGAGACCTTAACACTGACTTATCACAACTTAACACTGCCTTAACACAGCTTAACACTGACTTAACACAAGACGGAGGGACACTTCCGTCTGGGAACACTAAAGTGAGAGAACTGAGGGTCTACAAGTGAGGTAAGTGAGAGACAACACCTTACTATCCTTGAAATCCCTCACCTCGTGTCTTCCTCAGTGTGTGTGTGTGTGTCCAAACTCACCGTGTTATTCTCTCTCTCTCTCTCTCTCTCTCTCTCTCTCTCTCTCTCTTTCTCATCTGTTATCTACCATATATAAAGACAAACAACCAAGCAAACAGACAAACACCCAAACAAACAGACAGACAGACAGAAACAAAAAAACGAAGTGAATGATAGATGAAGAAAGAGAGAAAAAAAGAAATGTTCCGTAACGTAGCATTGAATGTGATGACTCATAAAAAATAAAAAAATAAAATAAATTGCTTCCATCTGACCAAACAGGAAGTAGCCTTGATATATATATATATATATATATATATATATATATATATATATATATATATATATATATATATATATATATATATATATATATATATATATATATATATATATATATATATATATATATAATTTCTTCAGTTTTTTTCGTTCATGTGTTTTAATATTTTTTTTTTATAAAAGTTTATTTTTGGTAGTCATACGAGGTGGAAAAAAATTGAGATTTTTTTTAAGATGTATTTTTTCTGGTTTAATTTCAGCTAATTCAATCTAACCTAACCTAATCTAATCTAACTTAATCTAAGATCACGTAATCTAACATAATGTAGTCAAACTTACTGGGATTAATGGCATTCGATTTTTATTTTATATATTCTAGAGGGGAAAACTTTTACACGAAAGACATTGAAAGAGAGAGAGAGAGAGAGAGAGAGAGAGAGAGAGAGAGAGAGAGAGAGAGAGAGACCACCAACTTCCGCTTCACCTTGACTAGTTTTTTTCTTTCCACCGATAACATTTTCTTTTTCTCCAGGAAGTAAGTCGACACTAGTGAGGGAACTGATGCATTTAGCGCCTCATTAAACTAACAAAAACTACTCACAAGAATCGCTCATAAGAATCACTCATAAGAATCACTCACAAGTAGATAATAACAATTTAGTGGATAGTTAAATGAGTGAAATAGATCGAATTTTACCTACTGAACGAGACGGCGGGTTGGTGGGGATGTTGTATTGAATGGTAAACAACGGTGGTGATGGGATGTTTCAGTAGCTAGTGAGAGGTTATAATGGGGTAGAGGCACCAGGTATTGATGTTTAATTGATTGGGATTAGTATAATGTATTTACTTCTGGATTAGGCGAGCGGGAAGGGGATTAGAATGGATTGGTTAAAGGTGTTTTGAACTTTTGATGATATGATTATTGGAACTTTTGCTCTTACTGTCTTTATTTTGGTTTTTTATATAATTTTTTTCTTGCGTAGGGATATACTTTATATAGTCCTTGATAACTATATAATTTTAAATATTAACTTTCTGACCTTATTTGAAGAGTCATGTTCTCAAATTCGATAGTATTATTTACAAATTTGTTTATTTGTACACTATTTATTATTTATATGTGTATCTTCTCTTTATGTCTGTATTGAAACACCTATATTATTATCGTTTTCCTACAGTATCTGTCAAAAATAATATAATCCCACCGATGAGTAATATTATCATAGTATCCCCGTTTAAACATAATTAACGTTTTCTGTAATGTTTGATACCTTATAACAGAAAACGTAACTTTACTTCCTATTTCGGTGTGTCAAGTGGACGTCCGCTTTCGTGCCCTACATTTCTGGGTCCGCGTTTTTTATGCCAACTTACTGTCGCTACTTCGTTCATTCATACTTTTACACCTGTGATTACACTACTTAAGATAATAGAGCAATCTTCTGTGTTCATTCTCTCGTTGCGCGAGTCAGAGGAGAGGAAGTGGGTTAGAGGTCGATGATGAATGAGGCAGTGAAGGGCAGAGTCGACTCCGCTGATCTTAGAGGTGTACGTACCACACTCCTGCCCATAGTCGACCCCCACCCCCACTACCACACCCCTCATATTTACACTCACTCTGTCAACGTTTCGCCTCGCGGTCTAGATATTTTCTTTCTCCTTGCTCACTGAATTTAAATATAGAGAGAATGATAATCGAGAACGAAGGGTGGAGGAAGGTTACACATACATATACAGTATACTTGTATATCGTTCAGGACACCTAGCTGGTCTGGAGCGTTTGTCTCAAGGACGTCTCCCCCTCTCTCTCTCTCTCTCTCTTTCTAGTCTCTATACACGTTTACATTCTCTCTCTCTCTCTCTCTCTCTCTCTCTCTCTCTCTCTCTCTCTCTCTCTCTCTCTAATCGTACCGGAATTTAGGTCGTTTTAATCGCGTCGGATAAACGTCTGTGAGATGAAACGGCGTCGACACAACCCACACGACCCCAGAGGATCCGACACGACCCCACACCACCGAAATCCTGGCGACCACACGACCCCACCACCCCAGAGGATCCGGCCACGACCACACGGCCCACCACCCCAGAGTATCCGGCGACCACACACGACCACGACCCCAGGTATCCGACACTACCACACACGACCCACCACCCAGAAGATTCGACACGACCACACGACCCACCACCCCAGAGGATCTGGCGACCACACACGACCACGACCCCAGAGTACACACACGACCCCACACCACCCCAGAAGATTCGACACGACCACACACGACCCCAGAGGATCTGATACAACCCTACACAAGCTGACACTACACGACCTCACACTAGCCGACATAGTCCCAAAACGACTCCACACGACAACATATGACCCATCACAACACAACACGACTCTGTGCGACATAATTTGACCCAAAACGACACAAATCGATCCTACACAATACGACACTATCCTTCATCATCTGATACGACCCCTAACCAACCCTACACGACACGACACAACCCTACAGCGTCTGACACGACCCCTAACCAACCCTACATGACTCCTAAACGACATTATACAATCCAACATGACTTTATATGAGAGACAGAGAGAAAGGGAGAGATAAAGAGAGAAACAAGAGGAAGAGATGAATAAAAAGTAAGAGAGTGAGACAAAGGAGAGGAAGAAATCAAGAGAGAGAGACGGAGAGACAGAGAGACAAACGGAAACAGACAGGACACACACACACACACACACACACACACACACACACACACACACGCACACACACACACACACACACGCACACACACACACACACACACACAGAGGAAGGCATCTGCTGTGATATATTTGGACATACTCAATATACGCGAAAGGAAAAAAAATATAGACGACTTGGCAACTGACTTCCTCCACCCCTGCTGAATATTAAGCACCTCGCCCTGTACAGTATATATATATATATATGTACCATACCTTAGTGAACCCAGTCAGTGTGCCTCTGGTATGTGAGGGGGTAACATGTCAGTCTCTCTCTCTCTCTCTCTCTCTCTCTCTCTCTCTCTCTCTCTCTCTCTCCATACATGCATACATATATACTAGAGAAAAAAGTTATGTTGGAGGTATATCTATTTGCTACAGTCCTATTAACTAGTAAATATATGTATGTATGTATGTATATTTTTTCCATCATGTATGTCAATTATTCATTATTTTAGGTATTAACCTTATCAATAATTATCTATACACACACTTGTATAATTTTCCTCCTATTTAATCCTATAAAGGAAATAATTGTTGCCACTATAATATTTTATAATTAATTAGCAACAGTGTTTACTCTCTGAATGATGTAATTTTATTGTTTGTTTGTGTGTGTGTGTGTGTGTGTGTGTGTGTGTGTGTGTGTGTGTGTGTAGTTTTATCTGTCTATCTATCTATCTATTTTTTATTTGTTTGTGTATCTATACTTATGTTTTTCTCTATTATTTTAATTAATTTTCTTATCAATTTATTTGTTTCTGTAATTAACTAATATTTTGTTGAATTCGTCTGTTTGTTTATTTTTGTTTATTTGTTAACTCCTTTGTTTATTTCTAATTATTTTTGTTTAATGGTGTTTACTTGTGTGGTTCTTTTGTTTCTGTACTTGTTGTTTTGTTTATAACTTATTCATTTACTTTTTCTTTGTGTTGTTTAGATTATTTTGTTTATTTTTGTTTATATTGTTTGTGTTTATTTATACTGTTTGTTATATTTATTTATTTTTTATTTATTTTATTGTTTAGTTTGTTTATTTGGTTTAATTTATTGTTATTGTTTTTGTTTATGTTACCATGGCAACACTTGCAGCCATCTTGTACACTATTGATTTTTTTATATATACAAGTGAATATTGGCTCATAGCGCGTACCTTGTGTAAGAGAGAGAGAGAGAGAACGTGTGCAAAAGAAAGAAAGAAAGAAAGAAAGAAAAGAGTGATAATTACTGTATATATTCCACAAAAGATTAACCATCCACCACATAATCAACTACTACCATCACCACCTCATTGAGCTTATGTTACGACTCAGCCAGCCAGCCAGTGAACCTCCCCTCCTCCACACCTCATCCTTCCCCTCTCCAAGCACTTCAAACTAACACACACACAAAAGGCATCAGTGACTTAAGACAAACTGAAGACAATAAAGATGATATTAAACTCCATTGACGATGTGTTAGTGACGTCGTGACATCATTCCTCAACTTTGAAGATGTCACACACACACACACACACACACACACACACACACACACACACACACACACACACTTGAAGGATGACTGTGGTAGTCTTGGAGTAAAATAGTCATCTATCTTGGAGGGCCTTGGTGTTGTGAAGTTCATCCTTTAACACTAAGGTTGAGTTTGGTTTGGTTTGGTTGAGTTTTGGTTGAGGTTTGGTTGTTGGTTTGGTTTGGTTGAGTTTTGGTTGAGGTTTGGTTTGGTTTGGTTTGGTTGAGTTTGGATTGAGGTTTGGTTTGGGTTGATTTCGTTGGGTTAGGTTGGGTGAGGATTGGGTTGGGTTAGGTTTGGTTAGGTTAGGTTAGATAAGGTTAGGTTAGGTTCTCCAATTACTCATCCTCAA